ACATTTCCAGAATGATCCAACTGCTTCAGGGCCAAAAAAGCCGCGCTTATCGCCCAGCAATTACATCTGTACCCAGTGGCGACTTCTCTGGCATCACCACAAATCGGGCTGATTACGACCAGAAAAAGGTTGTCTCCAGCACTTAATAAGAAGAAGAGGAAACTCATATGCTGCAGTTTTCAGGCAATGCGCAGTTCGCCCATTCGCCCCTCGTCGTCGAATCTTCTTCTTGATGGTCCTATGGATGCGCTTACCATTACACAAGCCGATTATCAAGGAAGACGTGGAGAAAAGTGGGTTTCAAAGACGATTTGTGAAAGATGGGAAGATCACACTTTTCGTGCTCATCAAGTTGAGTGGAGAGTAGGGCCAGGGCTTGGGATCAACTTTTATTTTGATGGATGGAAATCCTGCAAAAACTTCGCCACCAATTTTACAGAACGGTTGAACATCACTTAGCTTGATTATCTTTTACCATTCTAATGTCGCTTCAAAGAATCTCTTGCACTGTTTGACCTCTCTTCAGGGTGATTGCAGTAAGGCCTAGAAGTAACGAAATCGAACATGGACGGCCATTCGAAGGACATTCCACATACCAAGACGGTTATGTTCCAAAGGAGGGTGAGATACAGTTTCAAAATGATTTTTCGAAAAACAATCAATTAACTAGAATGTGCAACATTTGTTGAAGGTACTCACGAAATTGAGGGGGCAGTCGCGTCGCGACTGCTTTGGTGTTTAACTGTCAGTAAAGTAATACTGCCAATTCATAGAACTTTACAGAAAACCTTCCCTACAAATATTTCATTGTTTTAGCGACTCGTCAACGGTCGATGCGTCCTAAAGAGACGAATTATGCATCGACTGACGCGTTTGCTGGAAAGACCACACAGAGAACGGATTTCACCAAGAAGAAGGTGGACATTTGTCCAGCCGAGAAGGTGTTGAGCAGAAGGTGAGCCCCTGGTGTCCTGACCTCCCAAATTCTCATCTGAAGTATTTCAGAGATCGTACGTACGAGTTTTCGAATACTCGCAATGGTCACGACTTCTACCACCATCGAATTACGCACGCATCGCGCTCGAATTCTGCGCTCGTTCCAGTTGCATGAATTGAAGGAACACTTTTTTTCGAGAAGCGCATTATAATGTTAGATGGAAGTGCGGAACTCATGGACTGTAGCTACTGATTGATTGTTAGGAGCCTTTAAACTTTGAAGAGTAAAGTAATCGGTATCATTAGGAACGTCTCACGCCTTCGGTTATGTTCATGATCATAAATGCAAATGAGAGCGTGTTTGATTTATTGATTTATTTATTTAAGGGTGTGTAAACGGACGCGTATGAACAATGATATTTGTTTCATGTTTTTTCTCGTTTCGCTCTGTGGGAAGGTGGTATTGGAATGATTATGCTTTTATCGAGTCTTCAAGACGATTCTTCCCTGTCTTAGGGTTCCTAGAATTCGTGGTACTGTTGAGACTCAAAAGAACACGACAAGAGCGCTGAGATATCGCCTGAACTGTTGATTCTTCTTGTTCGCAGCATACACGGTGCGCACCCCCTCGCGAAAAGTAATCCTTCGGAAAGTCCCTTGCTATTTCCTTCGTCGCACTGTGTCTCTCCGACGTATCAGTCGATCCCACAAGAAGAAAAACCCTAATTCCACTGCTTTCTGTATATCTTTCCGTTGCTTTTCCTCGCTGACGGTCCTGTTCGCACCTCTTGTTTCATTTCCAAGCGAAATTGCACACCAATTCGATGGAGAACTATGCGATAATCTTTGAGGTATATCACAGAGGTAAATTAATTGAAGGAGATATTTCAGGAATATGAAGGCAGAGGCCAAGATCAAATGTGGTAATCCCACTCGAATACGGAAGTAGGGACACGAATTAGACTACAACGAAAAACTAAAAAACAGGTCGTGAAAAAAACAGAGACTATGGACCTTTCTGGCGAAGAAGTCTGAGAAACAGATAGCGATAATGTGGTCGGGAAAAGAACTCTGAGCTGAGATAATAAATAATAGATTAGGGTTACGAAACAGATGAGATATCGAGCGGTAGGCGGACAGGGTCCCTCTGAGCATACGACGGTCTAGGATCCAAGCGTTTAGCCTCGCCTCTTAGTGAGTGCGAAAAAGCTTTTGAACTAGCGGGCAGAGTACCTCTATCCACGGGAGAGACCTCTCCAGTAAGGCGGAGCTCCGCCCCAGCCTCTGATGCAAAACACTGTTTTCGAACAATAGGTGAATGCAGACGAAACACGTTGAACGACATTTGTTGCTCAGATTTTTTTCATGTGTAGAATATGTAAATAAGTAAACCCACACTTTCCCGAAAAAGTGTAGGAGGTAAACAGCACAGCAAAAAATGAACATGTTACTGAAACTAGTAGCGAAAGTAAAACGAAAACTTCCTTAGACAGGAGGCACGCCTGATATTCTTCACAAATAGTAAGGCAATCAAGATCTGAACGAAAAGATCAAAAAATACTCACACCCTAATAAATAACTCGTCTCTTTCGAGAAGAGTAGACTCGCAGACAAATCTTTATTGTCTAAATACGAACAAATTATTAGAAACGGAAGAAAGATTGTAAAGGGGCGTGGCCAGGAACAAATGAGCTTACAAGACACAATCAAACTGGAGCGGATAGGGACTACCTAGGAACGATTGTGAGGGGGTGTCGGTGGGCGTTTCAAAATCCGTGTTTGGTTGATCAAAGTCAAGTAATAGAGTGTTGTCCGCGCTTTGCCCCAGCATGGTCGTTGACAGGATGATGCGACCTCTTATGTTCATTGTGGAGCAAGGTTCCGGGTTGACGAGGGTGTGTGATGGCTTAAATCTTGTTCTTGTGATAAAGGGTATGATATGTACTGGGTGAATCATGTGGTGGGTATAAAGGATGTGGAGAGTCATACACGATCCACGAAGCGTATCAGAATCGACTATACGATAAACGATCGTAACATTGATTTCTGAATCAAGTGAGTCAAAAGCCACCTCCACCACCTCCCACCTCTACTCCGAAGTGATCGCCTGTTGGCGTAACGGTCTTGAGCTGTTAAAGGTACCCGAGACTTTGAGCAAGAACGGTGATCTTTAGGGACAGCTTGGAGTGCTGGATTTCCTCGTCCAGTACCTTTGTAGAATTGCTGATGCGTGTCGACGTTACTCTGCTGAAGCGGTTTCTTCGGTTCAGTTGAGACGAGATGAAATTGTGATAACCGCACACAGAATTGTAGGTTTCTAGTACTGCCATCGGAAATCGTTCAGCGCCATTCCGAATGAAATGTCGACCGCTCACGAGATCGTCTGCTCAGATTTTAAATGGAGCCTTATGCATGAAACCCTAAGATTTCAGCGGCAGTAGACAACGAATCCGTCGCTTCGAACGACGGCCTTTGCGTGATCGTCTCCTCGATGATATCTCTGAGCTGATCGACTGCTTTTCCCCAGTCCTGGTCGTCCTTGGGCCCAGCCAATGCTATTAGCTCCGCACCTCTGGCGACAGCTTGCATGATCAAAAACCAAGCGCTTCTCCAACGCGACACATCGACGAAACGCGCCGGTGAAAACATGATGACTGCCGAAATTCTTCTTCGAACCATCCCGGCAGTACGTCGTCTGGTTCCCTGGCGAGTCTAGCTGACATCAGGGAGGACTTGAAGCACTCCAGCACATCTTGAAAGCCTTCGGGCAATATTATCCAATGTTCGGCGTGGCTGCAATAGTTTCCAACTTGTTGCCGTCCATGTATGCATGTCCGTAAACTTCACAGCGTCACTGTAAATGCTGATAAGGTTGCACGGGTCCGAATTCGTCCGCGGTGGATATTCTGGCCCAATCCTTGCTGTATCTTCGACAGCAGCAAATGTCATATGAATACAGTGTAAATGATAAGAAGCAGTAGCAAGTCCGACCGAAGTCGACGTGACAACATCATACGAAAAATCGAGCATACGCGCCAAGAATGTTCAGGAATATGAGTTTGGCTAATAACAGCAAATGCTGTTGGCTAACTCAT